GCCCCCCCCCCCCGTCCGCCCGCCCGCGCACAGGCGTGCCCTGGCGCGGCGATGCCCGCGGCGCTGCAGGGCCAGGGCTGAGGGCGGCCGCCGCTGCGCGGCAGGCGGAGGAGGAGGAGGGGGAGGAGGAGGAGGAGGGGGAGGAGGAGGAGGAGGAGGGAGGAAGGAGGAGGAGGAGGGGGGGAGGAGGAGGAGGAGGAGGAGGAGGAGGAGGAGGAGGAGGAGGAGGAGGAGGAGGAGTTATAACGAGGACCGCGGTCCTCAGGGGCGAGCGCTGCGTGACTGCGCGCAGCACTGGCTGACGGGCGCAGCTCGACTCGCCCTCGGAACCCTCCTCCTCCGTCGTCGTCGTCGTCGTCGTCGTCGTAGTTGTCGTCGTCGTTGTCGTCGTCGTCGCGCCTCGAGGGTCGCGGTTCGAGGATTCTTGGTTTTCGGGACCCCGCCTTCTCCGTCCATGCCTCCCCCATTACCTCGAGCGGCTCTCCCTTCTCTCCCTTGCTCTCTCTCCCTCGCTTCCTTGCTCCCTTGTCCTCTTCTTCCCCCCCTTACCCCGCGTGACTCCGAGCTTACCCTCCCCCACCGCTCCCTCCTCGGACAGATCTCTCCCCACTTGTCGCAGCCCCTCCATGCCCCCCTCACCCGCCGCCCAGATCCCCCTCCCCCCCTTCACCCTCCAGCAGCATGCAGTCCTGCCCTCGATTATCCCATCCCCCTTCCTTGCCCCCTCCAGCCTCGAACCCCCGTTCTCGCCCTATTCTGCCTTTCTCGCCCTTCCCCATCCCCAGCTTGTGTGACTTCAGCCCTCCCCACTGCCATCCCCACGCCCCGACCCTCCCTTATCCCCTCCCTAGTCTCAACCCTCCCCAACCGCCCTTTCATGCCCCCCTTATCCCATCCCTAATCCAATCCCCAATCCCATCCCTCCCTGATCCCATCCCTTCTCCCATCCCTTATCCCTTCGCTCATCCCATCCCTTCTCCCTTTCCTTATCCCACCCTTTATCACATCCCCTGTCCTTTCGTGCCTTCCCTTACTTTCATCCCCAATCCCATCCCTCATCCCATCCCTACTCTCATCCCGATTCCCCTCCCATCCCTTCCCTAATCCCATCCCTCTCCCGCTGCTGTTTCTTGCCGTTCCCCCTCCCCCTAATCCCACCCCCCGCCCCCCCCCCCCCCACACCACACACACACACACACAACACAACAACACACACACACACACACACACACACACACACACACACACACACTACACACACACACACACACACACACACACACACACACACACACACACACACACACACACACACACACACACACACACACACACACGCACCGCTCTAACGCGTGGAGGAGGAGGGGGAGGAGCACCAGGAGCAGGAGGAGGAGGAGGAGGAGGAGGAGGAGGAGAGAAGGAGGAGCAGGAGGAGGAAAAGGAAGAGGACGTGGAGGAGAGGAGGGAGGAGAAGGAGGGCGCGGAGGAGAGGAGGAGGAGGAGGAGGAGGAGGAGGATTTTTGTTGCTTACACGGCTTCGCACACTCATTTTAGCTCCTACCTGGATCCACATGTGTTCAGGGCACAAAGTGGTCACCAAACCCGGAGTGGCACCAGACCACCATATTTGTGGTTCTCCGACCGAATGGCACGCCTGATGGAGACAAGGACGCTGGATTGACAGATGGTGTGAAGTTCCTGCAGGCGCGCAGCGAGCTCATCAGCAACGTCCGCAAGCTGGGCGAGGAGCTGACGGGCAAGAGGGGCATGAAGGTTACGCTGAAGGCCCTCTCAGACGACCTGAACAAGAAAGGCACCGACCTGAACTTGCTCCCGTATGCTCCAGACAAGCTCATGCAAGATATTGATGAAGTGAATGGTCATGTGCAGGCGCTGCTGAAGAAGGTCTCGAACATCCAGAAGCACGAGGTGGCGGAGTCGGAGAAGTCGCTGAGCGGCCTGACAAGGTCGATCAGCATCATCAAAGACAAGCACGTTGACCTCAAGAGTGCAGGCGACCACCTCATCGCCGAAGCTCGCAACAATGAGCGCTCGAACCGCCAGAAGGACTACTGGGTTCAAACGAAGGTGAATGCGGCGCTGACCAAGAACGGCTTCGGCAAGCAGCACGCCAAGCGGCTCAGCAAGATCATCTTCAACTTCGAGACGGCGGATCTGACGAAGATCCACGTGCATCACATCCGAGGGCACGGCCCACGGCATCAAGATCAACCGCGATGAGGACACACTGGACTTCAACCACGTTTCGGCATGGGCTGCTGGCAGCGCCTGGGCCAACAATTTCAAGAATATCCTGGACGAGGACGCGCGAGTGCAGGCCAAGCTCACCACCATGAAGGCTGCCCTGTCTAAGAACACCACGTGGGCGGGCGGCATGCGCGTGGTGGAGGGCGCCCACTGCACCGCCGCCAACGCCGACCTCGACCCCGACATCTTGGACGGCGACGGGGGCGAGCCGTGGATGTTTGCTTGCCGTGCGCACTGCTGCAGGTACGGGCCGAAAGCCTACCCTCTCCCAGGTGCCGCATCGTTGCTGGCGGTGCTGGAGGGCCCAATCTACGTTCAACTGACGGCGATCTCCAATATCACAGAGCAAGGGTTCACGATGACCGATTACCCGTCCTCTCTGGAGACGCCTGCGGGTCAGAAGTACCAGGACTCATCCATCGTGACGGTGCGCTTGATGGACAATGCTGCCATCTTCATCCCCCACGGGCTCGCCGTGCACATGGTGCACATCCCGACGGCTGCGGCAGATGACGACGAGACCAACCCACCGCCGAAGAAGAAAGGCAAGTCGGCAGCACCGAAGACGACTGATCAATCGAAGGTCGCATTCGTGCTCAGCATCCCGCTCCTGCGTGCTGCCGACATCAGCGGTGTGGACGAGAAAGTGCGACAGGTTGTCTCAGCCTGGAATGAGACACACTTCAAAACTAAGAATGAGGATTCGATGTGGGCCAACCGTGCAAAGTGGTTCCGTGCTCACTACAAGTAGAGTGGGCTGGACGACCGCCCAGGAGCCTCCACCACGGGCAGCAGAGGCAACATCGTCAATATCAGCATCGGAGCAAGTGTCATCATCATTATCATCATCATCATCATCACTACCTTCGCCGACGATGGTTGCCACGATGGCGGCATCGATGCCATCATCGTGACAACCACCGTCATCGGTGTGGCCATCATCGCCACTGCCACCATCGGCAATAATGATCCCACCGCCGACCTTATCACCGATTGACGGTGGGTAATTCTCGCCATCTCCTTATTGGGCCTCATCCTCCCGCCTCCTCCCTCCTCCACCTCCCGTTCCTCCCCGTCCCCTCTCTTGATGGAGTGGGCATAGGTTCCGACTTCGATCGGACTCAGAGTAGGCCTCAGAATCGGGGTCGGGGCCAACTCGGATTCTAAGATGCCCCAGTGAGGAGACAAGAAAGGGGATACGGCACGTGGAGGGAGGGAAGGAGATGGAAGACGGGAGGAACAGGAGGAGAGGGGCGGGGGTGGAGGGGAGACGGGAGGTTTAGGAGGGGACGGAAGGGCAAGGGGAGAAGGAGGGATGAGGAGGAGGAGGACGACGAGGAGTAGAGGGACGGAGTAGTGGAGTAGAGGGACGGGGTGAGGAAGGGATGGGGGGACGATGACAGCAACGACGAGTGAGAGAGCGGGGAGCCCTGGGCGGGGAGAGAGTGCGCGGCCCGCCCTCCCCCGCCCGTCGGCGGCCGCCCGTGGGCGGCTTCACGGCGGAGGCGGGGCGCGCCGCCGCCCACTGCCGAGAAGAGGGAGGGGGGAGGACAACGAGGACGAGGAGGGCTGACGGGACGCTTAAACAACGACCCCCCTAAACAATAGAAACTGCCCCCCCCTCCTTGTGTCTCTACTCCTCCTCCGTGTCCTCATCTTCCGTGTCAGTATTCCCGTTCTCTCCCATCCACCGTTATTATTCCTCGTCATCTCTCATCCTTGTTCGTCCTCCATGCCCCTTCCTCGTCGCCCCCACTAGGCTCCGAACGTTCCGCATTATATATCCTCCTCACGTTATCTCCTTTCCCCTCCCTCCGCCTCCTCCTCATGTTTTTTTTTTCCACCGCCCTCGATGCTACGCACGCAGGCCCAAACAAAGATAGGCGCATTCAAAGTGCAGCTAAACAACTCAGACATGTATGACTCACGATCGGCACGCACGCACAACTGGACTACGTAAGACACGTCATGGGTTCACCCAGATAACGCAACGCTTACGACACCCATGACTAGCACAACCAGACAACACGGCCAGGTAGGGCCATGCATAGATCTAGCCACGCACCACCACGACCAATGGTACGTGTACAATCATGCAGGGAACGCGTTGTGAAATCTAGTGGGCGCCGTGCAGTCTGCACGCGTCCTGCGCCTGCATCACGCGGCATCACGTACGGGGCGCGACGGTTGCTAACGTGTGAAAGGTCTGTTGCACGCCCCTCTCATTCGCATGGGTGTCGGCGGTCTATGTTGCAGGCGATGGCAGGTTTACACAGGGTGTGTTGTCGGGTTTGCCCCCCAGCGCTGGTCTGGTATGGGTTCCTGCTCTAAACCATTGAATTGCGATGGGGCTACCACAGCCCAAGGTCTTACCACCCCTGCTCTCCCCCGGCGCCGGCCCGCGGACCGGCAGCGCCACGCACCGCCGAGGCACGAGACGGAGCGGACATTCCCTCGGCACCCAGCAGGCCCAAGCAGCCCGTTCCACACGCGACCCTCCCCCTCTCGGAGAGGAGGAGGAGGCGGAGGAGGAGGAGGGCGGAGGAGGAGGAGGAGGAGGAGGAGGAGGGC